ACTGCAAAAGCACCGCGAACACCAGGGAATAGTATTGGCAACCATTCCGGCCCCTGTATTGCTCAAATGGGTGGGTGTGGAGGTGTGGTGAAATAAGGGGTACCTCATGTTGGGCTCCTTACAGTACGCCCGTCGGTCTCAGTCGGCAAGTGTGAATGGTGAATATTACAGTAGGCTTGTGAAGGGACTGCCAGGGGATATCCTTACCAAAAAAGGGGCCATCGTGACGAGCATCCTAGTCTTCAGGGTTCCTTGATATACTTCTACTAAACGCCCACCCCCAAAACGCTCTAATTATTCGAATGTCGAGCGGCCCTACAGTACTTCTTTACCCCCTCAACCCTTAACCCTAAACCCTAAATCCCAAACTCTAAACCCTCAACCCTTCAGGCTTGTTCAGGCACCCATGTTAGGGTCCTGTATGGCCACTGCTGCCTTGGCAGCGATGAGAGTCGTCGCAACCTCGGTCTGTTCTGCGGATGGGAGGATGCCCGTGGTAGAATGGTGTTTGATAAGTTTGTAAACTTTAGGGCTTTGGATTTAGGACGTTGGCAGGCTGAAAGGACTTCTCAAGCTGAAAGCATGCGTCTTGCCAAGCAGGTCACGCATGTAGGGAAATGGGGTTTGGGGCTATCTGATATGGTCTGGTTCGTTGTCTTAGAAACCCTAAACCCTAAACCCAAAGCCCTAAACCCCAATAGGGACTATGGGGATACTAATTTCCTATTTTTCAGACCCCTATGTTGGAGGTGTGGTTGCGGAGTGCAAGCCTGTCAGGAACTAAGGTGCGTTTGCCGAACCCTAATCTAAACCGTAGAAGCGCTAAAGACCCTAAACCCTGAACCCGAAACCAGGAACTCAAACCTTAAACCCTAAGCCCTTAAGCCCTAAACCCGCAAACCCGAAACCCTTAACAACTAAACCCTTAAACCCTAAACCCTAACCTTAAACCCCCTTAAACCCTAAAACTTAAACCCTAAACCTGTCAACCTTAAACCGCAAGCCCTACACCCTAATCCCTAAACCTTAAACCCTGTAAGCCCTAAACCTTAAACCCTAAAAGCCCTAAATCCAATGCCTGGCTCTCATCCAAAGCCCGGGTTCCCAGCATCGGAGTGGCCCGTGGCGCAGGCCCAGTGCAGAGGCGTCCAGCCTTTGACCGATTTCTGGCTTTTTAACTCCGGTTTAGGGTTTAGGGTTTATAGGGCTTATAGGGTTTAGGGTTTAGGGTTTATAGGGCTTATAGGGCTTATAGGGTTCAGGGATTAGGGGCTTTTTTATGGCTACAAATCCCTTATACCCACAAGCCTCAACACTTTAAACCCTAGAAGCAAAGACCATAAACCCCACACGTAAACCCGAAACCCGTAAGCAAAGGCGTTGAAACCGTTCAAGAAACCTCTGGTTCGTCTTAATGTAAACCCCTGATTAATAAACCCTACACCCCTATAAACCCAAAACGCTATAAACCCTATAAACCCTAAACCCTAAACCCAAAATCCTATGAACCCTGTAAGCCCGATAAACCCTAAACCCTAAAAGGGAGTCTAAAAGTAGGATCCCGGCTACGGGCAACTTAGGATCCTCGACCCCTCACAAGGGTTTGGAGTTGAGGGGTTGAGGGTTTGGGCTTAGGGGTTTTAGCGTTTAGGGGTTGAGGGTTT